TTTAGGATAATTTTCTATATTTACTCACACTCCATGGGTTTGTCAGTCTGTGCTTGGAGCACAGCTGCTGCTTTGGTACCTTGTAAGTCCTCCCTGTGAGTCCTCCACACAGCTGCTGCTTTGGTGCCCTGTGGGTCCTCCCTGTGAGTCCTCCACACAGATGCTGCTTTGGTACCTTGTAAGTCCTCCCTGTGAGTCCTCCACACAGCTGCTGCTTTGGTGCCCTGTGGGTCCTCCCTGTGAGTCCTCCACACAGATACTGCTTTGGTACCTTGTAAGTCCTCCCTGTGAGTCCTCCACACAGCTGCTGCTTTGGTGCCCTGTGGGTCCTCCCTGTGAGTCCTCCACACAGCTGCTGCTTTGGTACCTTGTAAGTCCTCCCTGTGAGTCCTCTACACAGCTGCTGCTTTGGTGCCCTGTGGGTCCTCCCTGTGAGTCTTCCACACAGATGCTGCTTTGGTACCTTGTAAGTCCTCCCTGTGAGTCCTCCACACAGCTGCTGCTTTGGTGCTCTGTGAGTCCTCCCTGTGAGTCCTTTTGCAATAGGCAGGGAAGGTGATTCTTGCCAAGAATGTCTGAGGTAGAAAATGGCTGTTGTCGTTGGTCACCTGTCTGGTGTGTCTACTTAGATTCACCCCTCCTTTTAGACAGAGGAGTGCTACAGTAACCTACAGAAGAGTTGCCCTGGGAAAGAGGGAGGCCTCAGTGGTCCTCCTTAAAGTAGATTGTGGCAGCATCCCAATCTTTCCACCTGGTTTCAGTCCCTCCTCCAGTTTCCACCCAGTTTTAGAGACCACGTCTTCTGGTTAATACTCTAGTTTGTATGTCTTCGTGTGTCCTTGGGGGTGGTGTGTTCATGGGTGGGTATTTGTATGTGCATGTGGTCCTGCCCACAAGTGCATGTGTGTAGTGTTTGTTCAAAGCTGTGGCCTTCTTCCAGCAGGTGTGGGATTACAGATGTTGACACAGTTTGTCTCTGTGATTGGTGGCAAATTATTTGAGTTGACTTCCATGAGCTGATCTCATCAAGCCATTCATCCTTTTTAGTCCCATTCTTCTGTGACCTTTGGTAGGTCATTGTAATCATATTATCAGTTATGTCTCTCTTAATGTGTCTCAGAAGGTCCTATTGATATGTCATTTGAAATCACCACTGATCAGTGGCAGGTAGATGCAGGTGTTTTCTATCCCTTCTCCAGTTAGTGGGACTAAAAGAACAAACTCCAAGCTGACAGGCGGTCCTGCTGGTGAGGAATTGTGTCTCCCTTCTCCCAGCCCCTTCTCATTCTGTGCACAGGAGCAAGTGACTTCTCCAGTCGAATCGACACACTTGGCTTGTGCAGTGTGACTGCAGCCAGGATCTCCCTTCCTGCTTCTCTAATCCTCCCATTCGGTCCTGGTGAGAAGTGGAGCCAGGCCGGGAAGACGGAAAAGCTGCTGTCTCCTTTCCTCTGTCATATTTGCGATGTCCCTTTCCTTCTTGGAATCTTAACAGCCCCACATTTGTATCTGCTGCTTGTTCTATCGAGAATGGAAAGTTTCTTCCCAGGCCTGGCGAACATAAGGCTACTGTGAGCCTCGGGCAAGCATCCAGGCATTTCCAGAAACCTCCTTCCCTGGCACACCGAGGAGCACTGCTGATCAGAGGGCAAGGGTCTGCTTGTGTTCAGTTATGCTGTCTCTGTTCTTCTCTGATTTCTTCTTTCTCCCCCCCCCTTTATTCCTCTTTTGCGTGAAAATGCTTTTACTGTCTAAGATTGCACTGAACTCTGAAAACTTCCTTAGGCTAAGCTGCAGCAAGGTCACTGTTAGAGCAGAGGGGAGAGCAGTTAAAACTCTTAGACTAAGGACAGAAGGGACCTGAGTCTCATAGGGACCAAGGTCACTCCACGGTTACTCTTTTGGTGGCTCTTCTGAATCTGTGACTTTTCTTGGACGCTGGCTGCATGACATGCTTTGGGGAACCACTCACAATTGTACACAGGCATAAACAAGACAAACATTTTACAGTTGTTTATACTCACAAGAACCTGAAAATTATTTAAATTATCTGCCTGCCAGTAGAAGAATCCTTAGATTCTTAGATGTGAGCCCATGCAGTAGAACATGGTGTTCATGGGAAACCATAAGATAACTGTGGGGGCAGTGACTGCAGAGGTGGCTGTAACATACTGACAAATGAAAAAGATGTTGATTTATATTTGCATATAAATATATTTATATTTATATACACCATGTATACTGAACGTGTGTGTGCAGCCACAGAAATGCCTAGAAGCATATACTATGAACTGGTAACAAATCATGGGGTTGGAATGGGTTCCAAGGTGGAGTAGACACGTTGCTTTTTAGTTTGTGTAGATTTGTGAAAATTATTGTTTTGCAATTTTGTAATTTTTAAATGAGCAATTGCTATCAGTTAAGCAGTAATTGATACAGTAATATCACTAACTTACCTGTAAGTTTTTTTCTATTCTTTATTTCCATTTTCCTTTCTTTCTCCAGTCCCCTCTGCTTTGTATTGTTGAGACAAGATTTCCCTTTGTAACCCAGGCTGACTTGAAACTCACCTTGTAATCCAGTCTGTCCTGGAACCCAGGTGGTCCTCCTGCCTCAACCACCATAGTACTGCAGTTACAGGGAGGGCGGCTTTCACCTCATCTCTGCTCCTTTTGACTTCTGTCCTGTGCTGTGAAATTGCCACCTCTCTCTCCATCTCTCTCTCTCTCTCTCTCTCTCTCTCTGTCTCTCTCTGTCTTCTTCCCTCCCTCTTTTCCTCTCCCTCCCTTCTTCCCTCCTTCTCTCTCTGTCTCTCTCCCCTTTTCCCTCCCTCCCTCTCTTTCTGGTGTGTCTCTCTCTGTCTCTCTCTGTGTGTCTGTCGGTCTCTATCTTCCCCCCTCCCCCGCTCTGTAGTTTGTATGTCTTTATCAGTATCATTGTAAGTCTGTATTCTCACTGAAGTGGGGAGGGAGTAGTGATGAATTCTCCTTTATTTTAAGAATCACAAAAGTGTTTTTACAAAGCTCTAGCTATGTATGCAATGTCAGATTTTCTGTGTTCTGGTGTGTCACCCCAACTATGTACCCCTCGTGATTCTGGGCTTACTGCTTATCCAAAGGAAGGGAAACTGATCACAAGTTATTTTTTCATAAAAACTAAATATTAGATGATAGCTTGACTTTTCTTTGATTTATTCTTTGACAGTTTCATACATATGTATGTCTCTCTATCACACCAGCCTTTATGCTGCTCCTCCACACTTAGCAAACACCTCCCAGTCTGCGCTCTTCTGGCCTTCGCGTACTCTCCTAATATTGACTGCTGCTAAATGTTTAAAATTATGATATTTAAGTTTGATAGCAAAAAGGAGCAATAATTAATATGGTATGAGGGCCCTCAAAATATGAAGCCACTGAGTTCAGTTCACTCATCCACCTCCAGCTCTCCTCAGTGGATAGTAACGTTTACTCTAGTTTTTAATTATATAAGCAATTTGTGTGAAGTACAGTAGATAATTATAATTGTCCTTCTTGTGATTCTGTGGACCAAACCCAAACATACCTTGTACATGCCAGACAATCACTGAGCTCCACTCCAAACCAGCTCCAGAACCTTCTGCGCTTCTGGAGAGCTAGCTCAGGCTGTAGAACGCTTGCTGCACAAGCATTGGGACCTGGTTGCGTCCCCAGCACCCATGCTTTTAAAGAAGTTGGGTGAGGTGAAATGTGTCTATCATCCCAGTGCTGGAGAAGCAGAGACCAAAGGATTCTGTGAGCCTGCTGGCCAGCCAGCCTAGCCTAGTGGTGACAAACCCCCCCCCCCATCTCAACAAACAAGGTCCTGAGGGGTGACACTGGAGGTTAGTCTCTGACCTACACGCATGCACGCACTCACACACACACTTAGAGTTGGTGCCTTTGCCTTGGGATGCCCTGCATGCACTGGCTCCCCTGTTGTCTTCTCCAGCCAGCTTCAGCGAACGTCTTTGTTGTGAGGTTGTGTTATCAGGGAGGCGAGTATCTGTTTTTGGAGAAGGGAGTCAGCCTGGCATGGATCTGACTCCGGAGTGCTTTGAAGTCTTCTTTGAATATGAAACGTGGAATAATGGGACCCCAAACAGTTGACCCCTTTTGTTGCTCTGACTCTGCTTTCGAGGGAGAAGCTGTCCCCAGTTTAAAGCAACACCCTGGGTTGCTGAGGATGTGTGTGTAGCATGCCAAGCACCCAAAAGGACCCTGGCTGTCTCTGAGCAATGGCACCTGATGTACCTTTATAAATCTGTCAGAGGAAACTGTGTTGCAGTACTCTTGCTTACCAAGGTTTTGTTTTTTTCTTTTCTTTGTTTTGTTTTTGTTTTTTGGTCTGTTTAATCCGTCAGACCTAACTTCTTATCCCATAGTTCCTGAGGTGTGTTCTCATTGTAACTTGAGTAACAAGGATATAACTTCATGAGAAAATTTTTGTGCTTGTGCTGAGCCCCCCCTCCATGACGTTTATAAGATTAAATTTACTCATTTCTCCCCCTTCACCCCCAAACATAGACATCTCTCTTCCACCAGATGGATTTCTGGCCTGATGGCGACCAGGTATCTCCTAAAACACCTGTTTTGTTACATTTATCCATTAACGTGTGTGAGTCTGAAGGGGTGACCTGAGCATACTACCGCACAGGTGTGGAGGTCGGGGGACAACTTTTGAGAGAAGCTTTTCTCCTTCCATCACTGAACTCAGGTTGTCGGGCGTCACCTCGACAGCCTGGTTTTGTGGTCTTTAATTTGAGCAAATCCACAATTAGAGGGTTGTGTTCAGATTGCTTGGAAACTGCTTTGAGTACTCTCTAAATCCTCTTCTCATCATCTGTTTGCCTTGGGTGGATTTTCCTAACAACAGAACGTTATCAACATCACCCCCCCCCCTTCACCTTCCAGTTGTGGTGCCCAGGGCTTGTCCTGAGTTCCTCAATCATTCGGGTTCAGTGGCTCCCCATTTCTCCTCCCCAGTGCCATTGCTTCCATCCTGCGGGCCTGGCTTGACCAGTGTGCAGAGGACTTCCGGGAGCCCCCTCACTTCCCTTGCCTGCAGAAGCTGCTGGACTATCTCAAACGGACGATGCCTGGCTCTGACCCAGAGAGGAGAGCGCAGAACCTTCTCGAACAGTTTCAAAAGCAGGACGTGGATTCCGACAGTGAGTACCTGCTTGGTCCCAGAGAAAACCTAGATTGGGATTCTGCATTGTGGAAGGTCCCCATTTGTTGGCTGAATAAGAAACTCTGGTACCCTCAGAAACTGGGGTAGGTGTAAAATTATTAAAGTGTTAACTCAGAACCTTAAAGCTTTAGAGTGAAAAGGGGGATTTTTGAGACTGATTTTATGATTTTGCAGATTAAATTCTGAGGCCAACTCAGAGGAGCTAAGCCATTTCCTGGGGTTTCTTCTGTCACCAAGAATAGAGTTTCCTTGATTTTTTTTTTATTTTTTAACTCTCTGTTGTCAACACGGGCCATGCTGAACATGACCTGGCTACTTATTCCCTGCCTCACATCTTCTCTCAGATAAACCTGTCACAAACAGCAACACCACAGAGCTGGCAAGGATTCAAGCCCATTTCCCCTTTCAAAAGCTTGGAGGAGGTGTTTCTCCTTTGCCCTAGAAAGCTTTGCTGTAACTGTCCCCAGCAGCGTAGATTACCGTCATCTGCTCTCTCTAAGGGCCACGTCAAAGGAAGTTTCTGAGACTGTTTTTTCCCATTGGAGGCTGACCTCTAATCTCAAGGACAAATGCAGGGGCCACCACTGCTGGTCATAAAGTTTGTTGACTGCCAAGCTCTGAAGAAATTAGTCAAGAGGTTCCATCAGCACAATGGTACATCCTTTCACTGAGGTGTAGGCTAACAGTTTCCATGGCAACTGACCCACTTGGAACTTCTGATGGGTACTTCCTTGAAGTAATGCTTGATTTCCTCCATGAGGGAAAGGAAATGGGTCTAACACAGATAAGGGACGCTACCCCAGAGCCAAGAAAAATACAGTAACTCTCCATTTCACTGGATACCTGTCGAATGGTTTGCACAGACTGGGGACTGGAGAAGGGGAATGTGATTGCATCATCTGGCTCAGATTGCCAAAGGCTTTGTATCTGCGATGACTTCATCTGCCGGGAATGCTTGAATACCCGGGAAGCTCCAGCTGCCAGACCTCAGCTCCCTTCTGGGCCTCTGGGCCTGCTTTGTGCTGGAGTGGGAATGCTGCAGGCCGCTGTTGCACTGGAACCCAGCTCTCCCTGCTGGGGCTGCCTCTGGCTCCTCGCCTAATTGGGGATCCAGGGGAACCAGTCATTGGTTGTCTCCAGCTCAGGGACTGGAGGGCAGAGCTCTTTTGGCAGGCAGAGGCAGGGACAAGGGAGGTGGCTTGACTTCACAAAAACTTTTAGGCAATGCCCAAGAAGGAATCTTTTCCAAAGTATGGGCAATTATTCTCAAGAAAGCTCCAGGGCCTGTTTATGAAGTGCAGGCACCATTCCTGAGTAGGGGTGTTGGGAGCTTGAGTCCCTTGTGCCCCACCCCTCATGTCTCACTAGCGAAAGTAACGAGGTTTCCTGTGGGTCTTCATGTTTCACACACCTTGGAGAGAGGCAGGTGCTGGAGCAGCCAAGTCCTAGACCGGGTTCCAGAGAGGATCATAGTCGTCACACAATTGCATTCTGGGTGCACACCAGACTTAGGGGTGCTTGAGTGAGCCAGTGAGCGAGCGAGCGAATGACCTCTATGCTTACCCTGTACTCTCCCTTGACTGCAGCAGGGCAGCCTCTGCACTGTCTTGGAGGTGGGTGGTATACTGTATCTGTGGGAGGGATGGACGGCCCTGTTGAGCCTTTGATTAGCACATCAGATTTCTTATTTCTCCACTGAATGAGAAAGTACTGGAGCTGAGTGGAGGGAAAGTACTGGAATCTGGATCTAGCATCCTGCACATGGTGCGATTTCAGCTCTTTAATTGGTACTTGCTCGTATCCAAGGTATCAGGAATAGGCACTGCTGCTCTCCCCCCTTTTCCCAGATATAGCCCAACCCATTCACATCAGGCCCTTAACTCCAGGGCCAGTCCAAAAATCATAGCTCTGCCCCCAGAGTAGCACATGGTGCCTGACAGGATAAGGGTTAGGTCTCTCATAGGTAGTTTAGAGGAAGCTGCACCGATTTGATGGTGCAAGATGCCCAACAACATCCATTCTGAAGAGAGAAAAGGCTTAAAATGTAAACATGCTGAGGAGGCCTAACCCAGACCGGAAAGTCCGCCAGGATGTCACTGTGGTGACTAGAACCCCACCCCCACCCCCATGAGCAGTGGCAGGTTTGACAGGAAGGAGAGTGACAGGAATGAGGTTGGGAAACAACTCAGAAACTGGTAGAAGATTCCCGTAAGGGGACTTTAAGTGGTGGCTGGAGGCTTCTGCAGCTGGACTCAGTGACGGTTAGCGGGTGGTGGTTTTCTTTGACCTCTGCAGGCGATGACCCTTGAACTTTCTGATGACTGATGGCCAGCTGTAGAGGGTCCCAGTGACTTTAGTTTAAATTTATTTTACACTTTGTGTGCACTCTGGGTGGAAGCTGATGGCAACTCTGAATGTCTGAGTCTGAAATATGTTTGAAGGTTCTATGGGTCTCATGCACGTCTCTGAAGTCCCAATGGTCTGTCCTACCCGCCAAAGCCTGGCCTGCTTCCTCCTCACTCTTTTAGGCGTCTGGTTCTGAGTGACCCAACAATCAAGGATTGTGTGTCTGGGGTGAAGGTGTTAGCTGGGTTAGTCCCGGAAATGATGATGGTGTTGGCGGGACCCGAGATGAGGGTTGTGTTGCCTTACTTCTGCAGTCTTTGCCTAGGCTAGCCTCTGAACAGCCTCTCAAGGATAGCCCAAGGCCTCTGAGCCTAATAAGAATGAACCCACGGGACTGGATCTCCATTTGGCTCCAGTTTTGTTCTCTTTCATCTCTTCCTGTGGTTTTCTGAAGAGTTAGCTCTTTCCTTCCCGAATGGAAGAAGTGCAGCTTGACGCTGTGAGCAAACCCTTAGGTGTCGCCGATTTACTGATTGTGTCCTCATTGTGGGCAGATGGACTTCTCAACACCAGCTCCTTCAGCCTGGAAGAGGAAGAGGAACTGGAGAGCGGAGGCTCAGCAGAATTCACATGCTTCTCAGAAGACCTGGTGGCGGAACAACTGACCTACATGGACGCCGTAGGTCTCTTACTGTATCTCAGATGTGCTTCCACTTAAAACCTTTGTCAGTGACAATACTGGTGGCCCAGATAGGGCAGAGGGCAGCACTGGGGACCGGGCTAGAAATCCTTCTAGTCTTTGAGAGAGTCTGGCTGTAAAGCGAGAGTCGTCGGGGTGCTATGTGACTCACTTGTATGAATAATTCAGGCCCAGCTCTTCTTGCAGCCCCGGGTGAAAGTGCATTTTCCTCGGAGCTCAGGTCACAGAGGGAAGTAAGAATTCTAATCCTAGTGAAACAGAATCTACCCTGTTCTGCGGGTATTTCTCTCCCTTCGGACTCATAAATATTTCAAGAGCCGAACTGTTTATTTGGAGGATTGTAAAGGGGTCAGAGCACAAGTTAGGATGAAATAAATTCATTGACTCCACATGTGACCGTATCTGGCGGAGGGTTTGCACGTGTGCTTGCTGCACATTTGAGGCCGGACGGTTTCTGTGTGCTGTGCACATTGGACCGTGTGAGTCACATTTCAAAGCTCCAGGTTTGCTGGAACGCACAGTTAAAGAATTACCCATGGTCACGGTGGCCGTTCTCTTCTGCTCCTAACTGAGAGCTGCCGCTTCTGCAGCATACGGAACGGCCACAGATTCCAACCAGTGAGAAAGCAAATAAAGTATGGAAAGCAGATAGTCTGTACGGAACACATGCTGGGTGGAAAACAGATCAGAGAGTCTACACAGAACACATGCCGGCTATCTTTCTTATAAACCAACTTTTACACATCTTATATTGAGTTGTACAAATGAGAATCTGATCTATTCAACATTTTTTTTTGGTTGTACAACTGATAGAATAAGGGAAAGTTGAAAAATATCTTATTTTTATCGCTTTAAGGGAAAGACCTGGAAACCAGGCTTTAGGTCCCCCATGCTTCTGTATGGTTTGTGAGGCTGGATTTTTCCCCTCCTATTTAGCATCTTTCTCTGCTTTGAAAAATGAGGAACAGTCGCACTGAAAGATGTGGCATGTGCTATAGTGATGTGGACTCCTTTCCAGGTGTCCCGAGAGCATCTGTCCGCGTGGTAGATGACTGGCGGTTGTCCAGGACACTCCAATCGCTTTTGATTCAAAGGATCATGTGGGGTCCAGTTGTGGTGGCTCATGCCTTTAATTCTAGCACTAGGGAGGCAGGAGCAGGTGGATCTCTGTGAGTTCAAGGCCAGTCTGCTCTACACAGTGAACTCCAGGACAGCCAGGACTACATAGGGAGGTTCCATTTAAAAATAAATTCAAAACAAACAAACAAACAAACAAAATCCATAAACAAACAGAAACCACCAAGTAGTAAGTCAGGTGGAGAAAGGTGATTTATCCTTAGAAAACACCGATCTGCAGATGTCCTAGACGGCGTGTCCCTCAGAGCTTCTGTGATGTCCTTAATGTCCATTCCTCTTTCGTTTCAGCAACTATTCAAGAAGGTCGTGCCTCACCACTGTCTAGGCTGCATTTGGTCTCAGAGGGACAAAAAGGAAAACAAACACTTGGCTCCTACGATCCGTGCCACCATCTCTCAGTTTAATACTCTCACCAAATGTGTCGTCAGCACCATCCTGGGGAGCAAGGAACTCAAAACTCAGCAGAGAGCCAAAATCATCGAGAAGTGGATTAACATTGCTCACGTAATTGTCTTATACAAAAGTCTTTGTGTTTGGTAGATGGCCTTCCTGAGGCTCTGTGGCTTCAGGCCTGAGTCCTCAGATGTGAGTTACACTCCGCTGACGCTCAGAATCCAGGCTGTTGGAGCTGTTGACATGTCACGTGACTAGCGTCTAGCACCGTGTACAGAAGACAGTCTCCAAGTCACTGTTCTTCTAGTCTATGAGTTCCTAATATGTGCGAGTTCCAGTATTATTTACTTTCGGGATATAGAAGCTCAACCACAATTGATTTAGCTATCCAGGAGCCAGTTACTGAGGTGACTTCTGCCTGTGCAGGGGAGGGTCAGCAATAGGAAGAGGGAAAAGTTACCCCTGCGTAAAGTTGGTCAAGGAAGACTGTGTGAGTGAATTTAGCTTTATCTGTCGAAGAGTGGGGTTGTAGGTACTTGAAGATGAAAGTTTTCTTCTAGGCAAGAGGAAGCTACAGTAAAAATGAAAGAATGATTGTTACTCTATTATGTTCTGGGCCATGATTAACCCTCAACCAAAACAAAACACATTTTGCTTCATGTTCCATTAGATATATTTTTCCACTAAGCCTGTTTGTAGGGCATGATACCTGAATAGTTTACATTTTCTTTTATTGTTTTTGACCAAAGAGTAAAGCCACAGATGTTCCAGAGAATTTGCCCTTTTTTTTTTTTGAGTCTTTAGAACAGCCTATCGCCCTCACATGCTAGTGTCGGAAAGAAATGAACAGGAAGCAAAACACAGACGTCGTAAAGAACTTACCTCTCCCCTGTTATAAGTCAAACTTATTTCTCCACAAAAATAACTGCAAGAAGTTTTGAGGGAATTTGACACTAGCATGGGATGTCTCTTTCTCTTTAGAATTGTAAGAAAATATTTTTTGTCACAACCTTTATGCCTCAAAACTAATGGTCTTTATGCTTCGAATTCATGGACCTATTTAGACAGGAAAAACACACCATCCCAGTGTGTGGCTGAGTGGCTTGAATAATGAATTTTAGTTGAAGTTAAATATAGATTGTGTGTTTATATGATAGAGAAACTGTGGATAACTCAGAGTGTACTCCACATCCGATAGCATGTGGAGAAAGCCAGGAGTCTTTATCCTTGCTCTTTCTTGGGCTTTTCCCCAGTGTTGAATATGCTGTGTTTCTTGAAATCGTGTAGAATAACATCATAAAACGCTAAAACTCACAGGTGGTTTTCTGCCAAGATTTATTTTATTCTTCCCTCATTAGTCACAGTCGATTTCTATTGAAAAAAAAGTTTGAAAAATGCTATTAATTTTGCATGTAGAAACGACTTCTGACCTAATATGGGTGTGTGCTCTTGGCCTTGCCTCTGTGCTGCATTCTCGATCTTGCATTGCGTCTTTTGGAAGATGCCTCCTTTTTAAAAAACGTGACTGGATGCTTCATGCGTTCCCTTAAGCCCTTAGCCTCAGCCTGTTACTGAATAATGCGTTCCATATGTTTATTACGATGGACATGAGATATCAGGGCCTGGGTGTCTTTATTTATTGCAAGTTTTCTGGTTTTCTAGAACATAATTTTGGGATGCTGAACCTCTGTTGAACCACACTGTCAGAGTGTGGTTTCCAGACTGCAGCAGCTCTACTCCCTCCCTCCCTCCCTCCCCCTTCCCTTTCTCCTTCTGGCCCTTCCTCTCTTTTTCTTTTCTTTTTTAAATAAAGGGGACTTTAGGACATTTTTAAAGACCGGGTGTGACTTTTATGAAATACATTGAAATTTACTTTGAAGAAAACATTTAAGGGTTTGATTGGCATGCAAGATTTTATCATGCCAAATTGGGGAATTCAGTTTCCCTCCATAGTGCAGATCAAAATTGCTTAGCAAAATGATTCTTGAAGCAATTTGCACTTGGTGTTCTGCATGAACCCAAACATGTACTCATGCAGTGTACTCAATGTAAAACCTGGATACAGTGCACTCCTCTGTACTTACATGTAAATATCTCTGACATTTTCCCAGTGTCACTTCCCCAGGCCAGCTAGCAATGAGAGCTCTTCCTGTTTTACCAACCCTACTGCTCTCTCTCTCTCTCTCTCCCTCCCTCCCTCCCTCCCTCCCTCCCTCTCTTCCTCCCTCCCTCCCTTTCTCTAGGGTCACTGGCTGCCCATATGGGCTTGGTCCCTTATGGTAGGATACATTTAAGCAAGGAGCTTCTCTCCTTACCCAGAAAACAACACCCAGAATCTTTCTGCTTTGTTTTAAAACATTACCAAAATGAATCTTACTTTAAAAGCCCAAGTTATTTTGGAAACATTGAGGTACCAAGGTGTTTCTGAATGTTTACTATTGTGGGACAAGCCAATTTGAAACCAAATGACTGTGTATAAAAATATTCCCCCTTGAATAAGAGCATGAAAGCCCAAGTTCAACTTGTGGTGAATTTTTATTGCCAAGTTATATACACCTCGCAGGGCACGGGCTCTTTGTACCATCTGAACTTACAGTGGTTTCTGCCCGGCTCCCTCAGAGAGCCGCAGGACACAGTGATCCCCCGCATATATTTTTAAGGCATGCCTATGTAAGCTTTCTGCAGAAGAAAGTTGACCTCTCCAGCGTAGCCGTGCATGCTTACCGCCTCGAGTTGTTTTTACTGGGAAAGCTGGAAACTATAAAACTGTAACAACAGCGCAAAAATATATTGGGGGTGGGGGTGGGGACCAAACTGACGGTGCCAAAATCTATAAAGTGTTTTGGTGACTGGGGCGGGAGGAAGGAGCCACTTTTTGATGTGCAGTATTTATACAGCTGCCTATTTAGTGGTAAGAATTCATAGCAGCTGTAATACCTCTAACACAGGAAGCCAGCGACCCACTGTAATACTGATGTCTAAATGCCTTTTATGTCTCTGTCGCTCCCCGCACAGGAATGTAGGATCCTGAAGAACTTTTCCTCCTTGAGGGCCATCGTTTCCGCCCTGCAGTCCAATTCCATCTATCGGCTGAAAAAGGCTTGGGCTGCCGTCCCAAAGTAAGTTCCCCAGTGCCTGCTCAGTTCTTCTCTTCCCCGGGCGATCTGTTGCTGCTTCCGTACCATGGGTGCTTACCGTCAGAACACGTATTACATGACAAGAGAAACATATCTGAAACCCCACGTGTGTTTCAGGAAGGGCACATTAGTGAATTTCGCAGAAGGGCTACTGTAGGAATCACACTGACTCTCAGTGTGTGCCAGAGCCGTGATTACCACCAGCCTGGGGCTGCTATGAAAGATGTGTTTAGTATCTGGGTCTTGGGGGACGAGGTAATGAGTGGTGGGGCTGGGCAGTTTGCATGATTTCTGGTTATTTTCTGGCCCGTTCCAAAGCCCTAAGCTGCTCTAGGATGGGAGGGATGGCGTGTGCAGTTAGGACCCTGATGGTCAGTAAAAAGCGATGGTGCCTCTTCTGCTTCTGCGTATTCAAAGCTGCCTTAGGCAAGGGGCTTCTTTCAAGGTGCCTGACTGAGATTATCAGCCACTCCCATCCTGTGCTGTTTTTTCTTCAGACTTCTTAGTTCCAGCCTTTGGAACTGGTACCACAGTGTGATCTTACTCTGGTCCCTATTGCTGTTTCTTCCACTTCTGGAACTTTGTGGACCAGAGACTTTTTTTTCAAAGAAATGAACAGTTTGTTCCTACAGACTTAGAGGATGTCTATGTCAGAGTCTCTACTGCTCTGATAAACACCATGGCCAAAAGCAACTTGGGGAGGAAAGGGTTGACTTCACTGTACAGTTTCTAAGTCCATCATCCAGAGGAAGTCAGGGCAGAACCTGGAGGAACGGTGTGCACTGGCTTGCTCGGCCTTCTTTCTTCTACCATCCACGATGACCTGCTCGGGATGGCACCACCATAGTAAGCTGGGTGCTCTCCTATCTACCATCAGTCAGGAAAATGCCCCACAGATTTGTGTACAGGCCTACAGGCCAATTCTATGGAGCATTTTCTTGGTTAGGATCTCTTCTTCTGGGTGATGGTGGTGCACGCCTTTAATCCCAGCAGTCAGGAGGCAGAGACAGGCAGATCTCTGTTAGTTTAAAGCCAGCCTGGTCTACAGAGTGAGTTCCAGGACAGGCTCCAAAGCTGCAGAGGAACCCTTTCTTGAAAAAAAAAAAATCTCTTCTTCCCAGAATATTCTTGCTTGTGCCAAGTTGACATAAAAACCAGCCAGCCAAGAGGGTAAGCCTTGTGTCATGGGTCCCATTGGGCTAGCTCCGTCCAGACCTTCCGAGGCTTGAACTGGTGAGGCTGCCAAGCTGTATCAGGAAGAGTGTGGGAACTGCCCATCTTCCCTGTATGCAGTACAGTCAGTGCTGATCAGGAGGGAAGTCAGCAGACTCTCTAGCTACGGCTGCCCTGAGTTTGCACTCAAGCCGCAAGCCCTGGGTGTGTGGTTCCATCATCACCCACAATGGATTAAGCCCTAAGGGACTGATACTGTTTGTGGTAATTCCTTGTCTGGGTAACTGCTACAAAACACCCGAGCAGAGCAACCTAAGGAAGAAAGGGTTTAGTTTGGGTTACAATTCTAAGGGCTAGAGTAGGTGTGGCAGTGGGAGTAGGAAGTGGCTGAAAGCTTGTATGGAGCTTGTTGTTTCCTTACCATCCAGCCCAAGACTCCAGCCTGTGGGGTAGTATGGTCACATTTAGGGCAGTGTCTAGCTACGCTCTGTCACTGTGAGGCGCTAGGGCTGTGTTGTAGTTACCGCTCTGTCACTGTGAAGACCAAAGCGATGTATAGAGGAAGACATTTAATCGGGGCTGGCTTGCAGTTTCAGAGGATGAGTCCATATGAGTCCATACCATCATGGCAGGGAGCATGGTGGCGGGCATGCGTGGTTCTGGAGCAGTAGCTAAGAGCTTACACCTTGATCTGAAGATAGTGGAGAGAGGAAATGGAATCCAGCATGGACTTTAAAACCTCCAAGCCCACCCACAGTGACACACCTCCTCCAACAAGGCCACCCACAGTGACATACCTCCTCCAACAAGGCCACCCTTCTAATCCTCCCACACAGTTCTGCCAACTGGGCACCAACTATTCAAATAGATGAGCTTACTGAGGCCCTTCTGGTTCAAACCACTGCAGGTGGGGTTTTCCACCTCAACCATGTCTAGATTTTTTTTTTCAAGAAAGGGTTTCTCTGTGGCTTTGGAGCCTGTCCTGGAACTTGCTCTTTATACCAGTCTGGCCTCGAATGCCTAGAGATCTGCCTGTCTCTGCTTCCCAAGTGCTGGGATTAAAGGCATGCACCAACACGTCCTGACTATGTATTTTTAGAAATATACCTGGGGGGAGGGAGAAATATACCCAGAGAGATCTCCATGGTGATTCTAACCACCATCATGCTATTCAACTCTGTAAGAGGTCCACATTGGCAAGCCAGAATGTCACAGTTTCTGCTGGAGAATGGGTGCCAGAGGACTCATGTTTACAGATGAGACGAGAAGCAGCTCTTATTGGTTAGGTAATTCTTTGATGCTGTACAAGGAAGGAATTAAAATGAATGGTATTAGTCCTAGCATTCGGAATGCAGAGGCCCATGGACCTCTGTGAGTTGGATGCCAGCCTGATCTATATAGCAAGTTTCAGGCTAGCCAGGGCTACATAACAAGACCTAGTCTTAAAAAACCGATCTTAATATGCTTGGAGTTACATAGCTGAAGAAGCCACACCCACCTGGACTACAAACCTCCAACTGTGTCAGAATAAAAATGCTTTTCAGGTCCACTACACTTTTCTAGATTACCACTCTTGTTCCCCCCACCTTTTTCTTTCTTTCTTTTCTTTTTCTATTTTCAGTAGTGCCTGTTACTCTGTATGAGAGTTGATTAATTTTCCCCTGAATGTACATTTATTGAAAGATATAGGTCGTGAAGAATCATTTGATGGCAGTATCTGGTAAAGTAGGAGGGGAAAATCAGAAGCCTACATCCTCTACGTCTTGGTACGCCTTTCTTACCCCTTATTACTGTTCCACACAAACAAGGGAATGGTCAGATATTAAAATGTGGTCTTGTCTGATGTCAGAGAAAGAATGGTTGTGACTTTCATTGGTGGGTGACTAGTGGCCTAACTAGCCCAGGAACTCTCCTGCAGCAGGTCTGAATCTTAAACTACAAGTTGAAAAACTAGCGCACAGGGGGCTCGAGAGATAGCTGCATGGTTGAGAGCCCTCCACGTTCTTGTAGAGGACCCAAGTTCAGTTCCCAGCACCCACATTCATTTGTAACTTTAATTCCAGAGGACCAGATGCCTCTGGGCTCTGAGGCCACTACACTAATACACCTCACAGACAGACACACATAAACACACAGTGAAAGTAATGCAAATAAATCTCTAAAATAAAAGCCTACAATCCATGTGCCTTAGTTTCTTGGGTTGCCAAAGAGAAGATTCGTTTTTTCAGCTGGATTTTCAAACAATTTTTCAAAAAAAAAAAATAACGAAAAATCTCAAAACTGAATTGTCGGCCATGTGTGAATGTTGGTGGTTGGTTTTTGGTTGAGAAAGGATGCCATAGCCTATCGCTGGTGCCCTTTCCATGTCAGTTGTATGTGCTCTCCATGGCTAAATGCCGGGAGGGGGAGTCGTGGGCTCTTACTTAGGAACCACTTTCATTATCATCCTTTACATTGCTAGCTTTCACTGCAGAGTCTTCTTTCTATTGAAGGACTTGCATAACTAAGTTCTTAATTGTTTTCTCCACAACAGAAATAGCTTTCTTTTCGTGGTTTGGTTATACAAATAATGTTATACTCATTATAATGCGAATAAGTCTTAATAATGGCCTTTTTATGGTAATAAAGTTGCGGTACACATGGGAATTTGGCTGCTAATCATTTGTGGCCCCCGGAGCCATCCATTCAGTGGCTGTGGAGAGATGTGTACACAGACAAGACAAGTGGGATGCTTTGGGGGCAGTGCATGGGGCGGGGCATGAGCCTTACAGGTGCTTTACACCTGCTGTGCTTCAGTGGCTTTCTTGTATACAGACGAGGAAATTGAAACAGCAAAGGTAAGCCACTTGTCCAAGATCACTAAGGCAGTAAGTAGGGTTGAACCCATCTGCCATAACTGTAGAACCCACTGTGGTTCTACCAATCTTCTCTGACTGCGAGAATAAGAATACAGGCCCAATGCAGACATTCGGGTTCTGTGTCTGTCCTCTCTGACTCTGAGAATAAGAAAACAGGCTGGGGTGCAAACATTCGGGTTCTGTATTTGCGGCCCTCAGAAGGTACTAGTGAAAAGCAGAGCAAACTTTTGGCCAAGGCTTCTTTCTCTCTAAACTTAGGTGTCTGCCAAGATGACCTCTACAAGACTCGGTGTATATTATTGGGATAAATCCTTTTTTTTTTTTTTGGATTTTTGAGACAGGGTTTCTCCGTAGCTTTTTGGTTCCTGTCCTGGAACTAGCTCTTGTAGACCAGGCTGGCCTCGAACTCACAGAGGTCCGCCTGTCTCTGCCTCCCAAGTGCTGGGATTAAAGGCGTGCGCCACCATCACCCAGCGGGATAAATGCTTTTTAAACTTACTTAAGGGAACATCTCTCTAGAACTTGATGCCTCAAGCGAATCATCATTTTTTAAAATGAAATACATATGATTTAGAGCAATTTCTCCTATCGTTTGGGTAACTGTGTTCATCTTTTACAAAAGCTGTCTACATGAGGACACTCAGTAGCTCCATTTGTGTTACGTTTCCCACCAATCCTGAGGGCCGTCCCGTCTTTCCTGGCAGTGTGGACTGAAGACAGCTAAGCTCAGGGGTTGCCTTTTTGCATCTGTTGTTTATTTTTCCTTCCTCCTTGCTCACAGGGACCGAATGCTGGTGTTTGAAGAACTTTCAGACATCTTCTCTGACCATAACAACCATCTAACCAGTCGGGAACTGCTCATGAAGGTGGGGCTCCTTCTGCGCTGACCTTGGAAACCACTTGTGTTGCCTCCCAAGGAAGCAGAATTTTTATCTCATCCTTAATCTAGGAAACTTGGGACTCAGAAAATCCAAAGCCCACTTGAACTTTCTCTTTCTACCCTTTCTTCCTTCCCACCCACACAACTGCATAAAAACCGGGGTTCAGGTGTGCAGGTCTCTAATAAGCAACTACTTAGTGCTAGCAGTTGCATGAATGGGCGACTTTGAAATAGCCCTTCTCAGCAAAGCAACTCTTTGAACGTTTGAATGACAGGGCCAGTCTACAATTCCACATCCCTTTTTTTTTTTGACCGAATTGCACAATATTTTTCAGTCAGCAATGTTTATTGAGCACCAGATAAGTGGTGACTCTTGAACTGCCTGTTGGGCAAAGGGGTAGCCTGGCTCTTTATATACATCTTTAGAAACATGCTGAATGCCTAGCATTTATAAAACACTGGGCTTGCCTCTAGAAATATGAAGCTTTATAACACAGCTTGTGTCTAGGAGTTCACCCGCTGTTGGGGGCTGTGGGCAATACAATACCCACTCACATGACAGATAACTTCATCACACTCAATGGGGCATTAATATAGGCCAGATCCTGTCTTCATAGCTTTCAGCCATCTAAATTTCGTCATCTTCATTGTAGATAGCTAAGACCTATAGTGGATGTAGCATGTCCCTTATTCCTCAGGTACACACCTAACGTATAGTATCGCTGAATTTTGAATCCAACTTAGGGACAATCAAAGACTTGTGTTTTGTTTCACACTGCCTTGTGTGAAGCATACCCGCAGACTGTTGTTTGTCCCCGTGGGTTACTGCGTTTGCCGCTCACATAACTTTCTGTTTTCCCGCCTTGGTTCCTTCTTGGCGCAGATGATACAGGGTGGTCAGTTTATGTTGATGTCTGACTTGGGCTTCGGACTGCCTGATTACCTGCACCCTAAACAATGATTCGTGTGACTGTGTAACTCCTTACTTCATGTCTTTCTGGATTCGCAGACTTTAAATGGAAACCCATCTGCCTGGAAGGCTGTGGCTCAGTGGCCTCCCAGTCTGCAGCACAGAGCTAGACTAACTGGAACCACACACTGAAATCCCAATAGCCCTGAATCATCCTCCCAAGGCAGATAAATTGAATGGTGTGCATCTCATGGCTGGTGACAGTCTTCTGGCTGAAACCTTAGATGCAGACTATATCTAGACATTAAAGATCCCATAAACCTTTCTCAGACGGAGACATCCACCTTGGGACTCTAAGTTAAATGTCATATAAGGCTCCAGCTGCAATGAACTGACAAACTTGGCGATGAGTTCAGGTGGCCTGTACATTGTCATGGATGCTGGTGGAACGCCCTGGGCAGTCCATATGTGTGTGCAGGTCCCTTTCCCATTAGCTCTGTTGATCATTACTCATGTGGAGTGTATAATTCTGGGTGTAACTTCTCAACACACTTGTAAATAATGAGATCAAGGTACTTAAGTTCTCAAAATAAGCACTAAGAAAAACTACTGGGCCCTGTTTCTAGTATGTTACTCCTAGACTCTGATTTATAGGGGGTAATCTTAGTTTAAAATGACTTATCTTCTACTTCTGGGTGCATGTAATATGCCACTTCTCTAAAATTATGGCCCAGACAACATACTTAGTAAACATTTGTGGTTTCCTTCTAACTGTTGAGAAAACATTTCTTAATTTCTTTTCAAAGACTGTCTTAAATTTATGATTTCTTCAACCTTATGATTTCTGAAACTTAGAAGAATTGCAGATCATTTAATCTATAGACGTTAAAACAACAGAAAGCAGAATGCCACCAAATCGTGGTTCTTGTGCTTTTGGTGGATGACAATTATCCCCGGTTGCTTTAATATGAACAACTTCTAAAAAGCCTCCCGGAGTCTGGCTCTGATGGAAAAGAAGCTCTACAGTGCATTAACACCAAGGTCAGAGCAAGAGGCCATTTACACACAAATGCCCACCCGAACAAAGCTGCCAGTTGCTCCTGGGCTGCAGTTTCACCGTCATGTTCTTAAAATGGAGCCAGTATCCAGCAGACAGTCACTGGAGAGTTAGCATAAGTTTCTGAGGCACCAGAGCAACAAAGGCAGCTGGAGTCTGCAGAAGCAGAGACACAGGGCAGAAGCTCGCTCTAGGGAGAAGGTCGGAGGTGCAGAGGGCAGAGGGCAGAGGGCAGAAGAGCGAGGATCGCAGTGAGAGGCTGGAAGAAGCACAGGGGGAGCATTGAAATCCATTGACACAGAGGTGATGACGGAAGTCATTTCCGATGATACAAGTCTGCTGGAAACAAGATGACTGGGGGAGAGGGAAGAGCAGTCTGGAGTCTGCGTGTGAGCCACGAAGGAGGCCGGAGGAAAGAATCAGAGTGGTGCATTGCAGCCCACGGATGGTTTGCGGGAGGTTCAGAGGGGTGGTAAGAGGGGATGGCAATGTAAAGAATATCAGGCCGAGGGAGGAAGTAGCTGCAGGTATTGGATGTGGCAGTTGAATGGATTTCCAGTAGACATTCCATCAGGAAGAGCTAGCAGCGACTAGTCGTCTCTTCTCATCCTTTTCTTTTTCTTTAGACTGCATCTCACTGTGTGGTTCAGGCCAACCTTGAATTCACAGTGTAGCCCAGGCTGGCCGTGGACTCATGATCCTCCTGCCTTAACCTCCCAAGTGCTCAGATTTCAGGAGTGCACTGCACGTGGTTGACTTGTCAGTTTTATGGCAGTGCTGCAGGGATGGACCCCATTAGTAGGAACCCACAAAGTTGTGGCATCAGTAAATCTCGCTCCTCATCTCTGGTCTTTTTATCTCCCGCTCATCGGATGGAGTCTTCAGTGATCCTTAAAATCCCCCTGTTATTTTTTGATTCTTCGGCTTAACTTTTTAGAAGTCCCTGTTAGGAATTTTAGATAAGCAGGGCATGGCAGAACACATTTTTAGTCCCAGCACTTAGGAAACAGAGACAAGTGACTCTCTGTGGGGCCAACCTCTTCCATAGCAAGTCCCAGGCTAGCCAGAACTACACCATTAAACTCTGTATTTAAAAAAAAAATTAGCAGAATTGATTTCTTACTCCAAACTAGATTTTCAGGATCCGGGAGCTCTTGTAATCGCCTGGTGTGGGAAGTGGCACATACCAGACTATTACCAAGAGTCCCCAGGAGGAACTATAGAATACCATGAGATGCTAGCTCTTGCTCTCAGCATCTGTCGTAGTGACCACTGAAGTAGGTTCTGTTTCCGAGTGGCATGCCCCAGACAGGATCACAGCTGGTAAATGACAGAATGTATTTATGCCTGGGCACTTTCAGTCAGACCCTGACACTGAGAAAGATTCTTTTTGTAATTGTGCGGTAATGTAAGGTCACATGCTTATAATGCAATAAACCCGGAAGAAACTGACTAAGGAAAAACTAATATAGAGTTTACCCTGAATTGCAAAATTGCTTTCCATTCATGCAGTTCCTGGAAAATGAGAACTTAACAAGACTCTAAAACCACAAAACTGAAACATTTTATGTTCAGTCAGCAAACCCATGATTGCTGTTGTTACATAGAAGTTAGGTTCTTGTGCCAGGCAGCCGGCAGGGAGCATGGGTGGCCATCTGTCCTCAGACCCCAAGAAAACTCTTGAGAGTTCCAACCTGGAGAGACATCTTAGGAGGATCAAGTGAACCCGCAAATGGCCCAACTTTCATTAATCGTGATGTACCGCAACACTGGAATTCCTCAAAATCTTGCTGGGCAAAGGTTTCATTTAGCCAAGAAGCACCACACAGTCCCCTTCCTTCCCAGAATGCTGGCACATTCATTCCAGGCCAAGATAAAGAAGTCATAAAATGTGCAGGAAGAAAGCTCATTTCTAAGACATAAGATTACTTGGCAAGAAACCTGGGATGTGTAGAAAACACCTCCCATTTTGGAAATCACTTACCTTGTGTTGATGATTGATTTTCTAGTGAAATTAGGGACCCTGCTTTCACAGAGCTGGGGAGGGGGAGAGTGGTATAATCCCAGGCCACTGCCTGCAGAGACTAGTCTGCAGCAATGCCCCCAGCCCCAGTCATAACACAGCCCAAGGGCCTGCAGGGGGCTTCTTCATTTGCATGGCATCTTGGAACACAGGAAGAGATTGTATTCTAGAACCTAGACACCTCTTCCCTTCTCTCCTGATTGGAATCTTCCATGACTCTCCTCTGTGTGTGCTCTGTCTCTTAGGAAGGAACCTCAAAATTTGCAAACCTGGACAGCAGTGTGAAAGAAAACCAGAAGCGGACTCAGAGGCGGCTGCAGCTGCAGAAGGATATGGTATGCGTGCCTGTGTTCTCCGGCAGGAGAGTGGCCCCGTGTACTTGGCCGGGCAGCTGGCACACGACCCTAGCATCTTCCATCTGCAGGGCACCTGGACTTGTCAAAGCTCTTTCTCATTCTTTGCCTTAACCTGTGAAGTTTTTATCAGAAGTGTTAGACCCAGTGAGAATGAATACCAAGAGTTGCAAATTCCATAGACAGCCACCCCTCCAGATGATGATGAAGGAAAGTGTGCAGTGGGCATATCTCCATCCTTCTTGCCATCCCCTCCACCCACTTTTACACCTGTAGGCTGCTGCCACTTTGGCCAGAAGCCTCCTAGGCTTTTTGCTTACATCAGCGTTGGGCATATAATGGCCCAGGAAAGACAGTCTCCTGTTAGGAAGATTTGGTCCTTGTATTTAGATATCATCACTCATTTGTTCCCAGCCTCCCAATCATTGCCTAGCTCTCCGTACTAATTCTGGGTCCTAACCAGATCTAGTCCAGTTCTCAGAGAATACCAGGCCTCCTTTCTGAAGGCAGAGGCATAGTGATCATCATCTTTGGCTCTGTCCTTAAATCCTCAGCTTCTAGCAGAGAGTGGGGGTGGGGTGGGGGACAGAAAGGACATTAGAGACTAGACAGCGAATATTCTCACCCTTGCCTAGAGAGAACTTTCCTTAGGGCTGGCCATAGATTGGCAATACTTTTGAGGGTTGGAACTCTTGTGTAAACTAAAAGCTGACCAAACTTGAAAGTGTTTCACGTTGTTTTGGTTGTTCAGAGACAGTTAAAAATAGCTGCTACTGAGGGAGGGGTAGAGATTATTTTAGTTCAGGATAAGACCTTGTACACACAACGGGGAGGACAAACTAAACTGCAGCTGACAGTAAGTTTCTGAAGGACAAAGTCCTGCCTGGTGTGAACTGGCTGAGCACACGGCCTGCCTTGCGTCAAGTGGCCTGGCCTTGCCCTGGCTCCGACTGTGCTGCTGCCAGAGTTCCCCTAGGTACCTGCATATATGAGAAGATGTCCGTTTCCAGCCCACCATTTCTTTCCCTGAAGAGTACTTGTGCCTCAGTGGGCTTGTGGGAACACAGACAGCTCCAAAGGAGATTTGGTGGGATGAATATTAAAACCTTTGTTCATTTCTCCCCACTTTTAACAACATCCATGATGGTGGTGTAACAGGCAGTCCTAAGAAATTACACTGACAGAATCCTGTCAGTTAAAACCCAGACCTCGCTGGAATTCACCTGTCTGTTGTAGGACCCAGTCCAGCATGCCAACAGCACTTAGCTGTCAGCATTTTCCAGTCACTTCTAGTCCATGGCAGCTTCAGAGCCTTAACTTGTTTGTCGTGACCACGACAGTCATCAGGAGTACCACCCGGGTCTCCTGTAGAATGCCCCAGGCTGGGTTTGTCTTTGTTTGTCTAGTGATTAAACCGAGGTCACACCTGTTTGGAAAGAATGTCATGGGAATGAAATACCTCTCTTGTCACATCCTGTCAAAGAGTTATGTGGTGTCAGAGTGGCATCTGCTGTCATGTTGATGGTGTCCCTGGCCATGAGCCCACCACTACGTTGGTTAAAATAGAGTTTGCCAGGTTAACCTCTGTAAAGCCAGCTCTCTCTGTCTTCCTGCATTACTGATAGTGATGGCCCAGAAACCTTGCCCTGGGAAATAGTGGTATATTCTTAATGATGCCAAGGCCATGGCCATCAGGGCATTCCAAACATCTAGAATTGTCAGCACACGTTGACAAGAGCAGACCCCACTACCAGAGCCTGATCACAGCAGACCCCACTGTGAATGCCCTTGTACACATGTATGATCTCCGGGCTAGAGGCTTGCTTTTCCTGAAAGTTAGACATTAGGTCATGTAGTTCCTGTCCTGTTTGCGTAGGTCTTTAAAGCAATTTCAGTCCGGCAGGAGACACTAATAACTCCAAATTAGTTTTGCCTGGCTCCCTTTCCTCTGGTTGTGTGGGTTACCAAAGCCTTTAAACATTTCAATGACAGTAAAGACAGCTCCATCTTCTTCAGGGTGTGATGCAGGGAACTGTACCTTACCTGGGCACCTTCCTGACCGACCTGACCATGCTGGACACTGCTCTGCAGGACTACATTGAGGTGAGTTCTCTGCAGCTGCCTGCAGCCGAGCCTGCGGCTTTCTTCTTGGCTTCTTGGGGAAGAAATTTGTTTCTCTCAGTATCTTTTTAGAGCCCACAATGCACGAGGTAGTAGACTGGGCAGTGAGAAAACAAAACAAGCACCAGAAGACCCCAAAAGTGGTGCAGAGGCCAGCGAAAGCAATCGCTGCCTGTTGAAACAGGCAGCCGTGGATAGGAACGATGGCAGTGAGCGCGGAGAGCAGCGGGAGGCCAGGGAACACCTTAGATGGTGGGGCATGATGGGGTCCCTATGAAGACACATGATGAAATGCCTCTTGAGGGGTGGGGTCTGAGCATGGACACTGCAGATGGCCTTGAAGAGATGATACACCCCAACTCTCTGTCTGGAGAGTAAAGAATGAACAAGATGAATGAATTTTCCAGCAGGTCCTCCTCTTTTCTTTATAATCATTGTGTCCCTGCCTCCTGCTCTGGAGTGTGCACTTGGATCCACCTACTGTCTTTCTTTATAATCATTGTGTCCCTGCCTCCTGCTCTGGAGTGTGCACTTGGATCCACCTACTGTCTTTCTTCTGCAGCGAAGACAGGTGAATTCCATCCAAACAAGCAGCCTGTTGATAGCCACACTAAAATGTTAAGTAGGAAGAATTTGATATTTGAAATGAGATTTAAGGGTTATTTGTAGGGCTTGGCTTCTAGCTCCAAGCACTTGCCTCTCAAGTCCTGGTTCAGTTCCCAGCAATGCCTAATAAACATAAACAAACCACAGGCGACACAGCACAGCACACTACAAACCAAAAGCAGCCTGCGCATGTGCACAGCGCTGTGTCTCCTGTGCAGCCTGCATGCGTGTGCTGCAGTTAGAAAGGGAAGCTGCTTTACATACTTTCAAGGATTCTTTAGGTGGTGTAGGCATGCCTGTCGATTTTGCATTGCCCGAGCGCGTGTCTCTTCATGGCCTCTGCCTCAGCTTATCTCAGGAAACACCCTTCTGTGCTGAGGAACTGCGTGGAGTAGGCAAATACAGAGAAATTAAATTTAACCTACTGAGAGTAGGGATGGCGGTGATGAAGAATTGAAACTTAATTTCCATGGTGCTGTGGAGAAGTGACTTCCCTTCTGATAAGCCACCTGACGGTTTGGTTTCCAGCGTGAGTCAGTGGCATCTGCTTTGTTGTCTTGGGTCAAGGGGATGAGTGGGGTGGAGTTTGCTCTTCACTGGCTTGGCAAATGTGTTGGACTCTGACTCACGGGGCTTTCTCATGGAGTTGCTTTCAGATTTTAAGAGTTGGTTGTCTACCCTGACCTGTCATAAATGAACATTGTTCTCTAAGAAAAAGATGGTTGTCTTCCATGTTGCTGCCATGTTAATAGGAGCATTAATAATGACAACTCTGTCATCCCCTTGACTTATTTAGTGTGAGCCACGGCAGGCAGCACAGGGCTCTGCAGTTTGGTTGGTTACACTCTTTAAACATCTCTTTCAGGGTGGACTGATCAACTTTGAGAAAAGGAGAAGGGTAAGTGGAACTCTTCACCTATGCTGGCCAGTTTATTGCATCTGGGCATGAAAAACTGAAAGAAGTGGAGACAAATCTTGTTCTTTTGTTTTTGGAGAGGCAGAAAAAATGATACTCATTAAACATTTTAAATATACCGTATGTTTGGCATGCTCTCATACATGACTCCACGAGAGCCCCACGAGGTCATTTCCCTCATCTTCAGTCAAAGATGAGGATGGAAGAGATTGAGTAGCTGGTCCAGATTCAGCTGCTGCTGAGCCAGAGTTCAGATTTTGTCCAGCTGCAAAGCTCATTAATAGATAAAGGTAGTGTAGCTCTGTGCATGTAGCTCAATGGTAGGGCACTTGAACTAGCATGCATAAGGTCTTGCATTTGATGCCTAAAACACACACAAACATAATGTAACAGATTTCTTTCCTTACCCCTGCCTCATCTGCTTCTGTACAGCTACTTTTAGAAAAGCAGGTTTACTCTATAGTTAGTAATAATGTATTATGCATATGAAAATTATTGCTGAGAATAGATTTTGAATATTCTCCTACAGAGAAGTATGTGAAACACTTAATATGTTAATTAGCTTGGTTTAGTCATCCCACAACAAATACCCATTCCAAAATATCATGTGCACACCTTGAATATATGCCTTTTCTTTTTTGCTTTTTAGAGACAGAGTTTCTCTGTGTAGCTTTGGAGCCTGTCCTGGAACTCATTCTGTAGACCAGGCTGGCCTCGAACTCACAGAGATCTCCCTGCCTCTGATTTCCAAGAGGATTAAAGGCGTGCACCACTACCACACACACACACACACACACACACACACACACCTATTTTTGTTAGTGGAATAAAAAACCAAGTTCATCTATTAAGGAAATAAGTTTCTAAGAGTGAATGGCACTAATAAAAATGGTTGCTCCTATGGGTCTGTCTGGGTGAGGAGACGACATAAACTTCCCCGTTAGATTACCCAATATTCTATGTCAAACTTGAATCTTTCTATGGATAGAATAGTTCTGCACTATGTGTTTTAAGTGCAGATTTTGCTATAATTTCTCTGTCAAATGGGCACGAGAGAGGCCTTTGAATGTTTGAAAGGAAGATGGGTGAGTGTTATAACCACCCTACAGAGCTTCACCGTCTTCTGTCTGTCCTGCTCTACCAGCACTGCTGATGTCCCTAACAGGGAGTTTGGAGACTTCTGCAATGGGAAGCCAGAGCTCCCTTCCCTCTTGAGTCCACAATCCAGGAGGGAGACAGGCGGATGAGCAGGCAGCCAGAATTCATCTTTATCCAAGTTCAAAGCAGAAGTGGAGGCTCTTAGAGAAGCACTAGGAGGCTGAGTCTACTCTCAGCTCGTGAGGTCAGGGAACAGTGCCGGAGTGAAGACCATGGGGCTAGGCTAGGACCGACCGACCGGAGCTTTCTGTCCCTCGCCTGCTGAACCTTCTGTGGCATGGTGGGAAATACTCCATGGCTGCACTGGGTGCTGATGAGACCACTGATTTGAAGGCTGCGCCCCCAAGACCCCACCAGCTCTTTAGTTACTTCTGCCGTGTCCTGTTTTGCCCCCACAGTGCCCCCATGCTTGGGCCTTTAAATTCAGCATTAACCTAGAAACTGCTTCCTTTCCTTTTAAGACTAAGAAGTTAGACATTTGCAAAGTTTGAGTAGGAAACCTAAAACTACAGTTTGTCTTCACTGCTGACATTATGAAAGGGACCTTGAAGCCTGTTAAGAGGTATAAATAATTTTGGACATAATCATGTACTCACTTTGCTTGTTCTCTCGTGAGCTTCAGAAGGTTAGTTAAAAGATTTACTAGAGTAGTAAAAACCCAAGGATTCGGGAAACCTAAACATAAGCATTGTGAGAGCCACGCTGTTTAGATGGTCGGCCCCACCAGTGCGTGTTTATTGAGGGGAAGCGCTGGAGAAGCTGTGGTGGGGAGCTGGGAGCTTCTTGACTTGAAGCATTTCTTTCCTTCCGTCCTTCTTTGTTTCTTTCTTTTCTACTCTCTCTTTTTAAGAAATAGGAGTAAAACTCATGTATTCCACCAATCTTATACTTAAAAGGAAAAAGAATCCCGAGAATGGAAGTAGGGAGGCCAAGGCGCCATTGTAAACTGAGCCAGCGACTGGTGGGCCTGCTTTTGATGGTGGCTTTAGTCATATGAATTTTGTTTTTCAAAGAGAAAAGAACAGAAGCATGCAACAACTTAAGGGGTTTGAAGTGGTACATATGTGTATTTTAAATTTATTTTTGTTTGTGGTAATAGGAATTAAACCCAGGATGTTGTGTATGCCAGGCACACACTCAACCACCGATCCACACCCCCACCCCTGAGTTAGAGCTTTTAAGACTCATTCATTTACTTTCCAAAGCAGCAGCATTTCAGAGTCCTCTTCAATGGGCTTCTCTTTATTTTCCATGTTGAAAAGACTGGTATTTGTTATTATCTCATTCATTATTATTTGTAATAATACAAATCTGTAATTTGTTATCTGTAATATCTTATTACTCGCTCTCCTTTTGGATTTCTGTTCTGATGTAGGAATTTGAAGTGATCGCCCAGATAAAACTCCTACAGTCCGCTTGCAACAGCTACTGCATGACCCCGGACCAGAAGTTTATCCAGTGGTTCCAGAGGCAGCAGCTTCTAACAGAGGAGGAGAGGTAGGCTGGGTTATCACCCATGGGGAGGAACCGTCGTGCTGGTAGAGGCATAAAGGGGCCAGGACCTTGCTGTGTCGTCTCTTCAATGGCTCTTGGGTTCCTGTTCTAAGTGTCCTGGTCCTTGGTTTCAGAGGGAAAGCTGAGTGGCCAAAACTAGGGAATGGGCGTTTAAGTCCTGCCCTGCCACTCACCTTTGAAATCTGGAGCAGTTCCTTTATTCTTCCTCATCTTCAGGATGCCTGTTTGTAAAAATGTTTATTTTAAGCATAAAAATCGTATTCTGGAAAGTACCATTAGAATGCCACTGCCATTGTCACAGAGTTGACAGCGTTAGCTTTCAGAGAGCGGAAGAGGAAGAGGAACCCATGAGAGACAGAAATAAGAGAAGAACTGAAGTACTGGGAACCTGTGGGCAGGAGGAGGTCATTGACGAGGAGTGGGGAATGGGATGCTTTGCAGATCTACCCGTAGGCTGGGCTGTGAAGAGAGATTTCACCAGAAGAGCCAGAGTAGAACATTCCAGACAGAGCAAGACAGGGACCCGAGCAAAGGCCTGGTGTCTGGAGGGCAGTGGTGCCTCTGTGTGGGTAAGGCACAGGGCACGTGTTTCAAGACATTGCCGGTGTGCATGGAAAGGCACACAGAGCCTAGCTAGTGCTCTGAATGCTGGCCCAGTGGGTGAAGACCTTCCCTCTAGTCTGGTGGCTGCCAGTGGTCTGTGGGCCTTATGTGGCATGTTGCCTGTTTTCACATTTTTAAGTGGCAGAAGGAAAAAATCAAAGAAGAATAATACAGCATGAGATAGTTACTTGAAATTCAAATTTCAGGATCCCTAAATAACGCTTTAGCGGAATAGAGCCCATTCATTTACATCCTGTCTGTGGTTGCTCTCATGCGTTAAAGGCAGACCATATGGCCTGCCACCTAAAATACCTACTATCTGGTCTGATTCAGAGAAAGTTGCCGATCGCTGAAGTAGACCTCAGATTTTCTTTGAAGATTTATCATATGGAAGAGTGAAATTGACAGCAAAATAAGTATTTGTCAATGAGGACTTAAGGGCTTTGAGGGGCATAGCTGGTTCTGCCAGGCCTGCCTGATTACTGCCTCAGCATTGATGGCCTAATGCTGGCCATCGTGGCCTGCCTGCTACTCACCTGGTGCCTGTGCTGGACACAGCTCCAAGCTTGGACAAGACGCACTTCAGATAGATGCTCCTCTTGTGTTTGCATCAGTTACTGTTTGCCTGACTGACCAATGCCAAGACCTGAGGCCTGGGTATTTTTAATTAAGCAGGTTTTGACAATTAAAGACAAGGTTTGTAGTTATATTTATATATCTTTATAAATAACATAATTGCTTATGTCTGTTCCCCAAAAGTTAGATAGTCTACATAAATACCTTCTTTCATTTTTCAGCCATAAAAATATGTGTGTTGTGCCCATAAACACAAGCACATTGGGAGGAGGAAGCAGAAAAGAAATGGTGATAGGGGTCGATGAGGGGGGAGGATTCCTCAAGCTCAAGCCTTGCGGTGGGATGAGGATGATCCCAGGGCAGGCTGCAGTCAGCTTCTGCTGCCAGTCACACGTCCTTGTATCGCAGCCTACAGAATGGAGCAGGCTCTGTCCATCTGCTGGTGAAAGGAGTAGGGAGAAGGGGAGGCACGCAATGTAAATGTGCCGAGTGTGGCCACAAGCGAACACCCTCTGATATCCATGCCAGAGCACCATAGTCTACAGCTTTACTTTGATATTCAGAGCCTTCCTCTAGATCCCGTGTTCCAGCAAACCACGTGAGTTGGGAGTCAGTTCTGTGCTTAAACACTGACCTCGGAACTCCATCTTTTCCAGCTATGCTCTCTCCTGTGAGATTGAAGCAGCTGCCGATGCCAGCACCACCTCGCCTAAGCCTCGGAAGAGCATGGTGAAGAGGCTGAGCCTGTGAGTCCCTCCCCCCCCCCCCCCCGGAGTGTTTTGAGTGCCTGGCTTTGTATAGAGGACTGAGTTTTAGCATCCTTCCTTTCATAAACAGAACCCTCATTTCACAGTACACAGCATACTGTGTACATGTTAAATCTGCAACCAATTCACGGTTCACACTGTATATATGAATGCAAATATCAAATGGAACCCCATTATTATTTATAATTAAGGTGTGTTGCTTTTTTAAATGACTGTTTTGCCAACATTTATACCTCCCATTTCCCAAAGAGAGCAGCTTCAGAAATAACTCACCAACTTCTGATTTTCAGTTCTCTTTTTCCTTAAGGTCTGTAGGGATTTCCCTTACAGCTAATGCCACCTCAGCTGAAAAGAGGTTTTAGTATTTCTTACATGGTTGTTTTATGGGGAAGGGGTTTGGGTTATTGTAGTTCTTCAGATGACTCAAAGCAGAAGTGTTCTTCCTTGGTTTCTTACCCGGAGCACGCCCACCTCTTCCAGCTGCAAAAAGTTCCAAGTTCATTTTAGGGCAGGAAGCAATAAGGGGCAGAGTGCTGGTATTCTGACCTGCCACAGTGCTCCATAGACTGCTCAAAGATGGAGGACCAGTGACTTGGAAAGGCTGCATCATTAAACAACCTATGCACTGTTTGGGGTTGGACATAATTTCCTGGAACAAGATCATCACTACTATTTGTTAGAAATATTATAGTTTGTTTTTTTAATGTACAACAGAACATATAAGATTGAAAAACCTTAAGGGCTTAATCGGCACGCATCATGTGCTCGGGCATGAGTTCTAGGTTTGTAACAGCCAGCACGTTTGGCATTCTGTTCTCTGCAGACTGTTTCTGGGGTCTGACATCATCACTGGGAGCACTCCCACCAAAGAGCAGCCCAAGTCCACGGCCAGTGGGAGCTCTGGGGAGAGCATGGACTCGGTCAGCGTGTCATCCTGTGAGTCGAACCATTCAGAGGCTGAGGAGGGTTCCATCACACCCATGGACACACCAGATGAACCTCAAAAGAAGGTACATAATTCTCATTCCTCTTGCAGCCCCCAGCATGCAGTTTGCCACATGAAGAATGTCTTGTTTCAGAGTTTTCAGTAGGTGTCCGAGACAGCCCCTTCTGGGGACCCATTCCTCAGAGACGTAGCTGCAAAGTGCTAAGGAGATTGATTGGCTTATTCATTTGTGCCTTGAGACGTTTTTATGCTGAAATGCACCAAAGGATTGTGGTCCCTGAAATAAGTCTCTTTAGTCAAGAGAATCAGGACTGCTTGAGAAGGAACAAAGAGTAAGAAATGGAGATATGCCAGCGTTTTGGTGTCCCGCGCTGCCTTCGCCACACTTATACCACACCCACGGCACATGGGAAAAGCACTGTCAAACTCAGTGACTTAGAGCAGCCACCATGTTTCTAGGGGGGCTGGCTGCTTTGGGTCAGGCTTGGCCTTACACCACAGTTTTTAACCCAAGTCTGCTCACTTACCTGTCATTCATTTGGAGTAATGGACTTTCCAGAAGACTCTCTCAGCATGCTGAAATGTATGCAGAAGAGAGGAAGAAGCCCCACCCTGTAAACATACCCAGAGAGCCTTTCCTTAGTTGTATGGACCAACATTCCACTGCTTAAAGCAGTCACATTAAAATAACTGAAGCAGGGAGATAGACCTGACTTCAGTGGGAGGAACCATGAAACAAATTCCCAGGGCAAAGGTCACAGTCTGCAGCAGGGTGAGGAGTTGATAATGATGATGTCATCTACCACAGTGGAAATAGATGGCAAGCTGTAAGTGCCGATAGTGGGACCCTCATCCAGTCCATTTCTCACAGCTGCACAAACGAGTAAGAGAAAATATCTTTACTTCTACAGTAAGACGGGAGACGGGACAGGAGGCCCCTTGGGAGCTCCCAGGTCAGCTGGCCTGCTGCTTGTACAAATGGTGAACAGCCTGTCCCAGACAAGGCAGAAGACAAGAACAGATACCCGAGGTTGTCCTCGCACATCCTGTGCCCTGGCACACACACACCTGCACACACACATAATTGTGCACACACATCCATACACAGATATGTATCTCTTTCTCTCACACACAGATTCTTTTAAAATCTAGAATGAGGCCTTACTCATTTGCTTTTTCACAGAGCTCGATGTTTTCTGGGTTCTGTAATCTGCTGGTGAATGCCATAGGAAAGTGACCACGGCTGTGGCGCCCTCACATCTCTGAGGGGTTTCTGTCCCTGTCTGGGAAGGAAGTGGAATCAATCTGTTGGAGTTTAGGTGGAGTAAGGACATATTACCCTTAGGGGAGCACGGAGATTAGGATTAAGTAGGTTAGAGTAAGAGCACATTACCCTTAGGGGAGCATGGAGATTAGGCTTAGGACATAGCACAGGGCTGGGCAGGGCTGGATGCATGGCTGGCAGGGACAAAGCCTTGGCTTCGGCCCCAGCAGCACACCTGTACACACACACACACACACACACACACACACACACACGGTCTCTTGGAAACCAAGCAGACGCTGTTGTTTCCACAACTCTTCTTTTTCTGTCAGCCTAATTTCTTGTATAGGTTACGTTTATATATTTTCAGATGAGTCTTTCCCAGAGCCTGGTTTCTCCAGACTTAAAGATGAATGTGTGACATGGGTACATGTAGCTTCTGTGCTGCACAATCCCTGTATATTACCCAGAAAATTCCACAGCTCTGCACAGTGCCCAATTGGGCCTGGATGTCTTGCACACTCCTAGCTGGACCCTGAGATGACTTCTTCTCTACCAGCCCCCACTTGGTCTCTCTCCTTCTTCCATGTGACGCTGTTTTCTTTAAAAGTAAAGTGTATTCGCATTCCTGTTTCTTCATGCTCCTTATCGCTTATAAACGTTTATTTTCGTGCCACTCCTTACCACTGAAATTCTCACCAGGAATATGAGGCCCGTCAGATACTCTTTTTTTTTTTTTTTTTTTTTTTTGGTTTTTCGAGACAGGGTTTCTCTGTGGCTTTGGAGCCTGTCCTGGAACTAGCTCTTGTAAACCAGGCTGGTCTCGAACTCACAGAGATCCGCCTGCCTCTGCCTCCCGAGTGCTGGGATTAAAGGCGTGCGCCACCACCGCCCAGCCCGTCAGATACTCTTTTATAACTCATGGAACCTCACTATCCTTAATGTCTTATCGTCTCTGTTAAGTGTTGTTAAAATCATGGGGAAATGGAATGTGAAAGTGAAAAAAAATCAACCAGCATTTGGAAAATGGACCTTCTTGGCCAATACACTTACAGGCAAAATTATGCAATTCAAATTATCCACTCTGAGCAAGTGCTCAAGCTGAGTCACTTGGGGACACAGAAGAAAAAATCCAAACAACAGCAACATATAAGTCAATGACAGCATGACAGTCCCATTGTTGACTCTGCATATCAGAGCTGGCCTTGGAGCTTGCAGCTGCAATAGAACTCCCATGTTGTGAAATTGTCTTTAACATAGGGTGCCGTAGGAGGAAGCAGCCCCTAAGAAAGTAAAGATATCATAGTTCCTACTTTTTTAAAAGCCACATTATCAGAAAGCCAAGTTTCTTTTTTTTTTTATTGAGAAAAGGAGAAAAAAAAAAACAAGTTTCCACCTCCTCCCAGCCTCCCATTTCCCTCCCCCTCCTCCCACCCTTCTCCCCCTCCCCCCACTCCTTTCCCCCTCCCTCTCCAGTCCAAAGAGCAGTCAGGGTTTTCTGCCCTGTGGTAAGACCTAGGACCTCCCACCTCCGTCCATATCTAGGAAGGTGAACATCCAAACTGGCTGGGCTCCCACAAAGCCATCACATTACGTAGGATCAAACCCCCGTGCCATTGTCCTTTGCGTCTCATCAGCCCTCATAGTTCGCCATGTTCAGAGAGTCCAGTTTTATCCCATGCTTTTTCAGTCACAGTCCAGCTGGTCTTGGTGAGCTCTCAATAGATCAGCTCCACTGTCTCAGTGGGTGGGTGCATCCCTCGTGGTCCCGACTTCTTTGCTCATGTTCTCCCTCCTTCTGCTCCTCATTGGGACTTTGGGAGCTCAGTCCAGTGCTCCAGTGTGGGTCTCTGTCTCTATCTCCATCCATCACCAGATGAAGGTTCTATGATGATATGCAAGATATTCGTCAGTATTGCTCAAGGATAGGGTCATTTCAGGTTCCCTATTCTCAACTGCCCAAGGAACTAACTGGGGACCTCAGCTTGGGCACCTGGGAGCCCCTCTAGGGTCAGGTCTCTTGCCAACCCTAAAGTGGTTCCCTTAACTAAGAATTGTGGTTCCGTGCTCCCCTGTCCAACCTTCCTTTATCCCAATCCTCCTGCTTTCCCAAGGCCCGACCTCCTTCCCTTCTAACTTTTCTCTCCCCATCTCCCCTTACCCCCAACCCACCCCACCCCAAGATCCCAATTTTCTCCCCGGCAATTTTGTCTACTTCCCTTAGCCAAGAGGATAACTATATGTTTTTCGTTGGGTTCCCCTTCTTACTTAGCTTCTTTAGATTCACCTATTGTAGACTCCGTGACCCTTATTTATGGCTAGAAACCAATTATGAGTGAGTACATCCCATGTTCATCTTTTTGGGTCTGGGATACCTCACTCAGGATAGTGTTTTCTATTTCCATCCATTTGCATGCAAAATTCGAGAAGTCATTGTTTTTTACCGCTGAGTAGTACTCTAATGTGTAGATATTCCATACTTTCTTCATCCATTCTTCCATTGAAGGGCATCTAGGTTGTTTCCAGGTTCTGGCTATTACAAATAATACTGCTATGAACATAGTTGAACAAATGCTTTTGTCATATGATAGGGCATTTCTTGGGTATATTCCCAAGAGTGGTATTGCTGGGTCCAGGGGTAGGTTGATCCCGAATTTCCTAAGAAACCGAAACACTGACTTCCATAGTGGTTGCACAAGATTGCATTCCCACCAGCAATGGATGAGGGTACCCCTTCCTCCACAACCTCTCCAGCAAAGGTTATCGTTGGTGTTTTTGACTTTAGCCATTCTGACAGGTGTAAGATGATATCTCAAAGTTGTTTTGATTTGCATTTCCCTGATTGCTAAGGAAGTTGAGCATGACCTTAAGTGTCTTTTGGCCATTTGAACTTCTTCTGTTGAGAATTCTCTGTTCAGATCAGTGCCCCATTTTTTAATTGGGTTAATTAGCATTTTAAAGTCTAGTTTTTTGAGTTCTCTATATATTTTGGAGATCAGACCTTTGTCTGTTGCGGGGTTGGTGAAGATCTTCTCCCAGTCAGTAGGTTGCCTTTGTGTCTTAGTGACAGTGTCCTTTGCTTTGCAGAAGCTTCTCAGTTTCAGTAGGTCCCATTTATTCAATGTTGCTCTTAATGTCTGTGCTTCTGGGGTTATACATAGGAAGCGATCTCCTGTGCCCATTTGTTGTAGGGTATTTCCCACTTTCTCTTCTATCCTTTTCAGTGTGTTCGGGCTGATATTGAGGTCTTTAATCCATTTGGACTTGAGTTTTGTGCACGGTGAAAGATGTGGGTCTATTTTCATTCTTCTACAGGTTGACATCCAGTTTTGCCAGCACCATTTGTTGAAGATGCTTTCTTTCTTCCATTGTATACTTTTAGCTCCTTTATCAAAAATGAGGTGTTCATAGGTTTGTGGGTTAAAATCCGGGTCTTCTATACGATTCCATTGGTCGACTTCTCTGTTTTTATGCCAGTACCACACTGTTTTCATTACTGTAGCTCTGTAATAGAGTTTGAAGTCAGGGATGGTAATGCCTCCAGAAGATCCTTTATTGTATAGGATTGTTTTGGCTATCCTGGGTTTTTTGTTTTTCCATATAAAGTTGATTATTGTCCTCTCCAGATCTGTGAAGAATTTTGATGGGATCTTGATGGGGATTGCATTGAATCTATAAATTGCCTTAGGTAGAATTGCCATTTTTACTATGTTGATCCTCCCAATCCAAGAGCAAGGTAGATCCATCCATTTTTTGGTATCCTCTTCAGTTTCTTTCTTCAATGCCTTAAAGTTCTTGTC